GCAAAAGGCAGGTCCAAAGCCGATTGTCTTACCCTGTCAAACTTGCTATTGTCGTTGCATGCCATTATTTTTTTTCTTTCTACTTAAATATTTTAGTACATAAAGGATAGAAGATGAAAGTTAGTCCGAGAAATTGAAATGTGCTCATCATATAGACGAAAAATACAAGAAACCTAAAGTTTCTTGTATTTTTTACCTGAGAATTATGCCTTTTTTTCCCGCGCACCGTCTTCGTTTTTGTTTTTCACGTGTGTTTTAATGCTAATTACGACCTGTTAGTGTTGGAAATCCGCCAAAACAACATAGCCCGGGGCCATAAAAACTCACAATTCTTCGAAAGAGCTGAATTCGTGACAAGCTGCCAGCGTTCAGTCTGCATTGGTACAAACAACAAAAAAATATCACCCTTCCATCAGTCCATTAGCAAATTTAATTTTAAGTTAGCCATTAAGATCTTAGATCTTTCATAGCGGAAGCCGTTTTGCAATATCAAATTTCATAGACATTTCTTTAAATAACGCCTCTTTCGATTGCGTCGTTTAGTTAAACGGTGCTTCAGTTTTCCAAGCCCATTTTGATCTCGAAGGCTCTTGAAGGATACAGAATAAGTAAATAAATTTTATCCGAAGTGTGAATGGCCTCATCCAGGAATTTGAAACGACCACGCACTCCCGTTATCTAAATTCTTTCTGCTTTCCTTGGAATCATCTCTTCGCGATGTTATGGATGCTCCGGTAAGAAACGATGCCCTCATTTTCGTTTTGTTTCCTAATTTCGTTTTATCGTTTTGCGCTTTTTTGTTTTGGCCGATAATTCGGCCGATTTAAGGTTATTAAATAAGGGATGTCTATTCGACCCAATTTAAGAATAAACTTACATAGCGCTATTCTGGTGATTTTGATAATTTTTTATAGTTATGTTTATATAAGGTCATTTGCCCCCAAGCTGATATTGATCCAATTTTTCTTCATAACTCTATCAGCTTTCTCTTTTACATTCATAACACCTGACACTACTACTACAAAATTAAAACCTCCTGCATCTTTGATCGCGGACCGCTTTATAAATAATCATGATTTTCTTCCTCTTCGAAAGCAAGGTATAAGGTTTTTTATTGTTCTTTTAGCCTGCGTAGCAAGCGTTTCTGTGGGGTGCGGGAGCAAAGAATTACAGCGCGAAAAATGGAGCGAGT